ATAGAACCTCTAAGTTTTACTTTTTTGAGGAATCTTTGTGGCTCATTTTCATTTAGGTAAATAATTTTAAAAGTGAATTACTGGGGGCTGTGGATGTAGCACAGTGGTGCTGCACCTGCCTGGCAAGCACAAGGTCCTGAGCTCAATCCCTGGTACTGGGAGAAAAAGTGAATTGCTAGCTCATATGGTAGCCATGTTGATCTATATGAGGAAGTGCTAAACCTGTTTCCTGAGGCAGTTACTGTGGACCTTTAACTTATGTACTCAGTTCGTTTGAGAGGGTTTCGTAATTCAGGTTGATCAGCTGAAGGCTCAGCTCCTCTACACAGCCTTCAGAGTATTTCTGCTGTTATACAGGCAGATCTGTGTCCTTAGACACTGGCCCAAGATTTCTCAGTTAGCAGCACATAGGAAAGGATATTGTAACATTCCTTCCAGAATTCTTTAAGGGTTAAATCTGTATGAGACCATCAGGAAGCACAAGCAGCTGTCATTCGAGTCCTAACTCAAGACTTTGTTCATAAGTTAAAACTAAAACTTCGGTCGTAAACTAAGTTGTTTGTATGTCAAGGCTGTTATAACTCGTGGGTCTACTATATGCTGTTTCACATTCTATCAGTGTAACAGTTCAGGTTGTTTCAACATTTGTGTTCTCGCAAATATACAGTGATGACTCCTTTTAATTTGCATTGGTAATGTAAATATCCTTTCTACTGCCTTTGGCCTTTTGTATATCTTTTGTAAAGTGTCTTTTGCTCATGTTTATTGAGTGTCTTATTATTACTTATTACTAATATTTCCCCATGACTGGTTTGCCTTTTCATTTTCTTTAGTGTATCTTCTAGAAAACAGAAATATTTATTTGAGGAAGTCAGAAATCCAAATTTGTCTTGATTCCTGTCCCCTGTGTACTTCTGGGTACTATGTACTTAAGTCTTTACCTAACTCAAAGGACTCGAGATTTTCTTCAGTGGCTTTCAGAATATGGTTGATGGGCCCTTCTAGGGTTTTGTGAGATCAGAACTACTTTCCTAATATTGCTCAGAATAGGTTTGCCTTTCTTCACTCTCATTCTCTCCTGAGTCATTTTCTAGAGTCTGCCTAACTTATGATGCTGCAGTAGATTGAAAGTAGAAATATGTATGAGAATCCAGGTGTCTTCTATTAGGCAAGACAGTACATTAGCAAAGAGAAAATAGCTTCACTCTCAGTCACTGAACTGTTTTTATAGACTAGTGCGATGGTGTATGCCTATAATCATAGCATTATGGAAGGTTGAGGCATGAGAATCACCAAGTTCAAGGTCAGCCTAGTCGTGACTTTGAAACAAGACCCTGTTTAAAACTAACCAGGGCTGGGCATGCCACTCACTGGCACTACACCTGCCTGGCAAGTGCAAGATCCTGAGTTTGATCCTCGGTACAAAAAACAAAAACAAACTAACCAACTAAAGAAATAAATGGCTGGAGATATAGTTCAGTGCAGAGATCCTAAGTTCAATCCCTCATATTGAAAACAAACAAACCAATAAAAGCAAAAAAAACCTGTTTGCTTTAGAAAGTACAATTTTTTATAAAATAGAGCATTTATGTTAATTTTGCATATTTAACATGTATTTTTAAATGTTCTGAATCTGATTTTTGGTGGATTTTTTGCAGTAGTAAGAACTAAACCCTGTGGACACTGCTACTGAGGTACGTCCCAGCCTTTTTTTTTTTTTTTAATAGTATTGAGTTTATTGATACTTTTTAAATATCAAGTACAGTTACATTCATCATTGGACTCTTGTACCCTTACATGACCGATTTTGGTTCTCATTTTCTTTCTTTCTTTTTTTTTTTTTATAATCTCACTAAACTGCCCAGGCAGGATTTGAACTTGCTGTCCTCTTACCTTACAGCCTTCTCGATAATGGAAGTATAGGCATGCACCTGAGACAAGGTCCTGCTACATATCTCAGGCTGGCCTCGATCTCATGGCAGTCCTCCAGCCTTGCTCAGTCTCCTGAGTGCTGGGATCACAGGCATTTGTCATTGCTCTCAGTGTGCTTTAATATTTTACTTGATTTTTTTTTTTTTTTTTTTTTGGTACTGGGAATCAAACTCAGGCCCTTGCACTTGTGAGGCAGGTGGGAGAACCACTGAGCCAAAACCCTGGCCCTATATTGAATAATTTTTAAGGATAGTATATAAAATAAAGGTAGAGTTTCATTTTTCCCTGTATGTAAATGTCGTTATTCCAGTACCACTTGTTGAAAAGATTATCCTTTTCCCATTGAATTATCTTAGTTCCTTTTTTGATGACCAATTGACTATAATTGTGAGGGACCTTTTTGAATTTACTGTTCTCTGACCTATCTTTATGCTGTTGCCATACTGTCTTGCCATATTGTCATTTTTAGTAGGTTTCTCATTGCTTGATTGCTGAGGATTAATTCCATGATTTCGTTCTTGCTGATACACACTCTATCACTGATATACACCCAGTCTTTAGGAAGTCTTGAAACCAAGTAGGATCAGTTTTCTGTGTTATTATTTTTCAAATTACTTGTTTGTTGTAGCCTTTTGTATTTATAAATTTTAGAATTAGTTTGTCAATATCTACAAAAAAGGCTAGTCATATTTAGCTGTTTAAGACAGAGGTTACATTCAGATCCTAATGGTGGCTGAAGACCCTCTTTTTTCACTTGCTAAAAGTTTTTATCATAAATGGATGTTGAAGTCTATTGAACACTTTGTATCTTTAGAGATATTTTACTATTTTAAAATTTGCTATCTAGTGAATTGCCTTGGTTTTTGTTTTTTGTTTTTTTTTGGTACCAGGGATTGAACTCACCTTGGTTTTTGTTAATGTGAAGCTAATTTTGTATTCTTTGAAGAAATCCAGCTTGATCATGATATGCTACATCTTTATAGATTATTAAATTTGATTTGCATACATTGTTTAGAATTTTTACTCTTATATTCATGAGTAACTTTTCTTGTTTTCTTGTTTTATTTTGGTGTCATCATTTTATTAGATCCATAGAAGGATGGGAAATTTTCCCATCTTCTCTGTGCTATTACATTGTTGTGTATGGTTGTAATTTTGGGATTCTCAAATGTTTCAACTTCCCATAAAACATATCTTCATGTGAAGATTTTTAAATTGTTAGATCTCTTTATGGTAAGAGAATTACTCCGATTTTCTATTTCTTCCTAAATCAATTTTGTTGTAGTATTTTTTCTGTGTATAGTAATTGTACATTTGCTTTCAGTTTTTTTTACATTCCTTATATTCTTTTTAATTTTTACTTTTTTTTTTATTGATACATGTTTGCAGTTCATAATGATAACATTCCTTCCCTGCGGAGAGTTGGTACATGTATATAATGAATCTTAGTTCTTTTTTTTTATATTCTCCTTTTTAATCAGTACCCTATCTTCATTCTGCTCCTGAACCGCACCACTTGTTTATGCCTACGGCTCTCATTAATATTACTAAGGCACCCCTGAGAGGGCTGAATATGGCCATAGCTGTTTGTTTTCTCTCCTGTCAGTTACCCGCTCTTGTGTTACCTGCCTTGCACACTAGTACCATTGAGCTCAGCATCTGAGCCACAGATATCAGGGTTCTTCCAGCTCTGCTATCCTTGCCTGTGCTCCTGAGCACAGTGAACTTGCCTGCTACCTTTCTTCACATGTTGCCCTTGACTTCACCACCCTCCACTGGATTGGTCCATTTCTCCAAACACTGGATCGCTCCTGCATCTGACATAGTACCTGTGTGTCCCTCTGGTGCCATGTGATCGCCTTGCTTCATTATCAGTTGTATGTATATGTCTCCACCAGCAGCTTCCTTGCTTCTGTGCCTCAGGACCTTTGTATGCCCACACAATGAGATGGAGTTTAGGCCTGATAAAAGTTTATTGAATTGTGGGGTTGTGAGTCAACTCTTCAGACATTCCCACTGACCAGCTACCTTGCTTGTCTCCCCTATGATGGTGGAAAATGGCCCCAAACTCTGGGCCCAGGTTGTTCCATCCTATTCTAAGGAGAGATCGCCAGGGCTGCAAGCTGAACACAAGTCTGTGCTTGCACTGGAACTGTAGAAGCCTGCCTGGAGAGGATCAGCAGGAGCAGAGTAAAAGAGAGTACTTCTCTGTGGGAGGCAGATACCATGCTACCGTTCTCGGGGAGGAGAATAGGCATCCTCAGTGGGTGTAAGATCCCCATAAGGGATAGAGAACCCTGGACACCGGGCATGGTGGCTCACGCCTGTAATCCCAGCACTCAGGAGGCTGAGGCAGGAGGATCACTATGAGTTCGAGACCAGCCTGGACCACATAGTGAGTTCCAGGTCAGTCTCAACTACATAGTGAGACCCTGTCTCAAAAAACCAATAAATAAATAAATAAAGCACCCTGGATCCTCTGTTGTGACATTGAGCAACTTTTGAGGATTGGTCATAGTAAAAGGAACAAAGTTAGTCTATCCTGTCACTACCACCACTGCTGTCATTGCTAAAGAGAGGGAATGCAGTAAAGTAGACAACTGTTGGTCTGGGCCAAGGCCTGCCATGCACACAGCTATGTGGGGTCCCTGTGCCTTAAATCTGGGCGAATACCATCTTTGGTTTCTGAAGTTCTTTCATTTGCCTCGAAGCAGCTACATTGGCGTTGCTGCCTCACCCAGCCCCTGGAATTTCTAGGTCATTTCAGGGCAGACCAGGAGCTTCTCAAATAGGACCGACTCTACTACTTCATGGAAGATCATGGTTTTGTTTTTTTCCTCACCATCAGTTGCTTAAATTGGAGAGAGTACTTGCTTCTTGCCACACTGGAATTGAGTGTCACTGGGTTCTAATCTGGCATCTTCTGTGTCCCATGTTCAGGGAAGATTTCCTTCCTCGATGTTTTCTAGGATGCAGTTGAGCACAGAATTTCAGGGAGGCCCCACAGGAGACAGAAAGGAAAGGAGCCAGGACTCACAACACAGCTTGCTCTCTGCTTTCCCCTGCAGGTCACTGCTGAAACTCAGGAGAAAGAAAAACTCATCACACATTTGCAAGAGAAGGTTGTGTCCTTGGAGAGGAGACTGGAACAGAATTTATCAGGAGAAGAATATGTACAAGAACTCCTGAAGGAGGTAATTTTCACTCTCCTTATGCTGGCTGGTGTGGGAAAGGCAATGGTGACCATCAGTTCTAGGGTTTCAGAGCTGAGAGTCAGCGAACAGCTTGGTGAGAAGATTGCTCTCTCCAACTTTGTGTATTTATGAGAGTTTTGTTTTTTGGATATGGGGATCTCTCTGTGTTTCCTAGCCCAGCCCTGAACTGGGCTCAAGCAGTCCTTCTGCTTCACCCTTGTGAGTAGCTGAGAATTGCAGGGGTGCATCTTTATTCCTGGCTTTTTCAGTTTTGGATTGTCCTGCTTGCATCAAAAAAGCCTTTGTACCCTGCCCATTCCTTAGGAAAAGGGGGGAGCTCTGTTCAGAGATGTATGTAAACAGTTTACACCAGATCCCCTGGTGATTTACCCCCCTGCACTGTGTCTTCATGCACTGCTTCCTGCCCACCCTGGTGTGTGCTATGTTGGGCAAGGAAAATCATTGCCGTCTCTCTTTGGCATGAGCAAGAAGATCTCAGGGCCAGAGGTATAGCTCAGTGACACTGTGCCTGCCTGGCAAGTTCAAGGTCCTGAGTTTAACCCCCAGTACCTAGAAAAAAAAAATGAGCCCAAGCAGTGACTGAGGGCCTGTTGGGCAGTTGACCTCTTTCCCAGTGGCATAGGTGAATTCCTCATTAGGTCTGGAACTGATCTCTGCCCCATTCTCCTATCTTCTCTTCTGTTCCAGTGCCTCGCCTCTTCATGACACAGGTGACAAAGATAAGGCCTTAGGCTTATTCTAGTGTAAGCCCTCACTTTCTATCTCTAGTCAGTGTCTCAAAATAAAAAGGGGCTAGGGATGGAGCTCTGTGTGAAGCCCTGGTGCCAATCTATAGTACCAAAAAAGAAAAAAAGGATGGTGATTTGAACATAGTAGGGTCTCAGTTACATCAGCTATTCATGTTATTGTGACATCATCATTATAACATTTAGAGCAATTTATAATTATTATAACATTTATAACACGATTTATAACATTATTATAATATTTATAGCAATTTCTTGGGAGTTTATTTAAAGCATGGGTCTTCAACTCACCCCTGAAATTCTGATTTCACTAAACCTGGAATAAGGTCTCAAGCTAAACAGCTACCCCCAGGTAAATTTAATGCTAAAGTTTGGAAGACCCCACTTTGAAAATTGTTGCCTACAGAATAACATTCAAGCTTTTTTCCTGCTGCATTATAAAAGCTCTTATTATCTGGCTCTTTTGCCCAACTTTGTAATCTCATTTCTTGGTCTAATCCCATCACTTGGGCTTTGAGAGTTATAGTTCCTTGAAGGCAGCAAGCTCTTCCCTTCCCAGCAGTCACCACCAGCCTAGCTCCCCAGCCACTGGCTGCCTAGCACTCAGGAAACTCAGACTTGCCATGGCCTTGTCTCCTGATATGTGTGCTGCCCTTGCAGCCACTTACTGCATTAGTCATGTGACACAAACTCAGGGACAAAGGACTTTGCCAAATTTATCTCTGTGTGCTTTTTGATCTATGAATTAATGTCCCCTGTACATAGCACAAATCATGTGTTACAGGCATCAGTAAATAGTTATTCAACAGAGAAATGACTATTTTTCCTTTGCTCATCTTTCAACTTATAGAAAACAGTTGCTGAGCAGAATTTGGAGGATACCAGACAGCAACTGTTGGCAGCCAGAACCAGCCAGGCCCAGGCCATCAGCGTCCTGGAGACTCGGGTACTGACCTTCCTCGGGGCTTCCTAAGTCTGGGTGGTAACCTGGCTGAATGATCGATCTTTCACGGGGTAGAGATAATTATTTTCTTTACTCATACCTCATTCTCATCATTGTTCCACATAAAGTTGTCCTCTTGCTCATTTAGCTCCTTTTATTCCCATTGGCTTCCATCCTATAGGAAATCATATGAATGTGGTTAATGCAGACCCTACCTTAAAATGGGTAATATTGTTTTATGTACATGTGTTTTCAATTTGTAAATATGTAAATGTAAATGACATAGCTAGGCTAGGTCTTTGTTATTTTCACCTGTCCTGTCTCCCTCCTGTTTCTGCCTCATAGTACTTAACGTACTTCCTAGGCATTTATCTATTACATGGCAGACACCCAGGTTGCCTTTCTTTTCCTGTCACCTCTAGTTACCCTGCAGTGAACTCCATGTCCCTAGCTCCCTAGCTCCCATAGGCTAATAGGCAGTGTGACTGAGTAAAGCGAAATTGTTCCCAGAAGAGCTGTATCTGGCTATCCTCCTTTTCTGTTGTTGTTTTTATTTTTTCTGGGTTTTTGTTTTGTTTTTTTGTGGTACCAAAGGTCAAACTCAGGACCTTGCACTTGTGAGGCAGGTGCAGTGTCTGGCCTGTCTGGCTGTTCCTAAATCTTCATTTCTGCTTTTTCTTCATTAATATTTCACTGCCCTTTACTTTATTGTTGGTTTTTGTTTGAGGGTTTTTTTTTCTAGTTTTGTTGTGTGCTATGGTAATGTATTGCTTATTTTCATCACTGTGGTTATTAATAAGTTTGATTATCATTCTGTTTTTGAAATTATTCATTTATATTCCTGGCTTGTTTTTTGTTGGCATTTTCAGTCTTTTTCTTACTAATTTAGTAGGACTTCATTGTATATTATAATTCTAATATTTTGTCAGTTTCAGTCCTGAACCATTCTGTTAATTTTGTGCATGAATACTTTGTTGAATAGAAATTCATAAATTTGATACAATCAGATTAATCAAGTGTTTTGCTTTATGACGTTCTATTTAAGAAACCCATTCTTAGCTGGGCATGATGTAATCCCAGCACACTGGGAGGCTGAGGTGGGAGGAAATCCAGGTCAAACCCAGCCCAGATGACTTAGAGAGACCCTGCCTCAAAAAATAAAAGGCTGGGAATGTAGGTCACTGTGAATCCCCTAGGTTCAATCCCCAGTACCAAAAAGAAAAAAGCCATTCTTCTTCCTAAGTCATAGAGATCATCTGTATTTTTTGTATTAATTTTAGAATTTTGTCCTTCACATAGTAGATCTCTAATTCATATACAAACTTTTTTTTTTGGTACTGGGGATCAATCTTGAGTCCTTGTGCTTGCGAGGCAGGCAGTAGAACCACTGAGTTAAATCCCCAGCCCATGTACAAACTATCTTTATTTATGAAATTAAGTAAGGAGAAGCTTTATTTTTCTCCAGGTTTAACATCATTTAAACAATCTATCCTTTCCACACTTGACTTCATGCTAACTTTATCATATACTAAGCATGTGGGTTTATCTCTACATTCACTATATATTCATTTGATCTGTTGTCTGCTCTCCTACAAATTCTACAGTGTTTTTATTACTGTCGTGTTATCAGTACTAGATATCAGTACCTAATAAGACAATTCTCCTGTTCTTTGAAGGTTTACTATTTGAGAACTTTTAAAGTTTTGTTTCTTGGTTTGGGGGGTGTTTTGGTTGTAAGTATTACTCAATTCTCTCCATGATTATGGTCACAAAAATCTGTATCCAAACCAAATCAAATTTCCCCAGAAGGTCAACATTGAACCTAACCTTTGAATTTTATTCAATTTTTATGCAACTTGGTAATCAAGTTTGTGAACCAAGATACAGGTACTAGCAATCAAATGCAGGGCCTTGCACATACTAAGCAATTACTGTCCCAGTGAGCCATATACCCTACCCTTTTACAGTTTTTATTTTAAAATAAATAAGTATTAATTCAGGGTTGGGTTTTTTTGTTTGTTTTCGGTACCGGGGATAGAACTCGGGTCCTTGTGCTTGCGAGGCAGGTGGCGGAACCACTGAGCTAAATCCCTGGCCCTTAATTCAATTTTTTAAAAGATAAAAACAAAAGTTTTTTGAGACAAAGTCTCACTGAATTCTCAGACTAGCCTTGAACTTGGAATCCTGCCGTAATCTCCCAAGTAGCTGCAAGTAATGAACATGTGTTACCATATCTAACTCTATAAGATTTAAGTTCCTAAAAAACTCTAATTGAACTTGTACTGATTGCATTAAATGTATGGCCTGTATGAAAGAATTATCATTTTATAATATTAAGTGATTTCTTCTAAGAATGTAAATAAATTTTGTTCAGATTATTTTGCATCTTTATTAAAATTTTACATTTTCCCCAGGTATAGTAGTGTATGTCTGTAATCTCAGCACTTTGGGAGACTGAGGCAGAAGAGTCTCAAGTCCAAGTCCCCACCTAGGCAATTTAGTGAGACCCTGTATCAAAATTAAAAATGAAAGGGCTAGGTATGTAGCTTAATGCAAAACTCCTAGGTTTAATCCCTAGTAATCAAAACAAAACCAAAAGATTGCATTTTTCCAGACTGAAGATGTACTAACTCAGTGTAAAGTGCTTGCATACCATACCATACCTTTCTTTCAATTTCCAGTGCCACAAACAAAAAAGTATTTTATGGATTTCCCAGTAAATGTCTTTTTTTTTTTTTGTACCAGAGTTCGAACTCAGGACCTTGTGCTTGTGAGGCAGGAGGCAAAACCACTGAGCTAAATCACAGGTCTAGATGTCTTATTTTATTGGCTAAATTATTTTTAATTTTTTTAGGTTGGTTTTTTGTTTGAGGCAGAGTCTCACTGTGTAGTTCAGGCTGGCCTTGAATGCGTAGTGATCCTCCTGCCTCAGCCCCTGAAGGCTACAATTACAGGCATGTGCCCCAACTCCAACTGTGACTAAGTTAATAATTTCTAGAACCCTAGAGTTTGTGTTGATACTGTGATAGAACCTTACTTTTATGTTTTTTGGTTTTAGTTTTGGTTTTTGGTTTTTTGAGATAGGGTCTGACTGTGTAGCTCAGATTGGCCTTGGATTCATTATAGCCCAGGCTGGCCTTGAACTGAAGGCAGTCATCCTGCCTCAGGCTCCTGAGTGTTTTAGATTACAGGTCTGCACTACCACCTTGGCTCTCAGTTTACTCTTGGATACTGCGCCCCGCTGACCTCTTACTCTAATATTGTATAATGTCTTTTGTTTTTCCCAGGCAGATAATTGTATTTTTAAGTAGTGGCAGCTCTGTCTTACCCTTTTCAGTCTCTTTACCTCATTCCTTTTTCTGCCTCATAGCATTTGTAAGGATCTGCAGTTCTGTATTAAACAATAGCAGTGTTAGTGGGCATCCTAGTTTTGTTCCCAATCTTAAAGGAAATTTGCACAAAGTTTCTTCATATGGTATCATTACCATATGAATTACAACCACACATAACTGGCAACATACCACAATTCTTTGTATCTTTGTCAAAAACTTACATACCAAATAATACCTGTAGGCTATCGTATAGCATATAGGTAATTTTATTAACAAAATGATAAATTTTCTACTTCTTTTTGAGCCAATTTGACATTTTTCTCTTGAATTTGTCCATTTTATCTTGGGTTTTGTTATGGCTTGTGTTTCTATATCCCCCAAAGCCTCATGTGGTCATAGGTGGGACTTTTTCAGAGGTGGCTGAATCTAGGGTATATGATGCTAGAATTAATTTGTGGTGCAATGCTAGGATCGAGGAACTAGGATTAAGGATGTGTTACCTGCCCTAAGTAGCCTGTATAAGATATAAGGGATAGAAAGAACTGTGGTTGTCCCTTGCTTGCTTTGCTGCCTTCTGCCTGCCATGAATTGTTTCTCCTCTGAGATTCCTATCTGCTCCACTACCCTGCCTTGGAGCCAGCCAGTTATGGACTGAAACCTATATAAACTGAGCTAAATAAACTTTTCCTCCTTTAACTTTGGATGTTGGCAAGATCTAGACTTCAGGGAAGATGATGGAGTGGTGTTCAATCCCCAGTACCAATAAAGAAACGAAAATGAGAAAAACACTTAGGTTGCAAACCAGCCCCCAACTTTGAGATCACCAAAGGCAAACTCCAGGGACAGTGAGGTAGAACAATCCAAAAGCCACCTACTTAGACTCTCTGAAGTGGTAACAGCAAAAGTAACAAGGCAGATGAATGAGGCCCTAGAAGAAAATCAAAGCAGAAATAATTTCCCAGATAACTATAAAGATGGTGACCAGAATGAAAGATGAGCTTAGTGACTCTAGAGCAGATACAGATTAAAAAAAACAAAAAATAGAGGAGCTCAGAAATATGGAAACCATAAACACCCAGAATAGGGAAGAAATGGAAACCATGAACACCCAGCATGGTAAAGAAATAGAATCCATGAAACGGATTCAAACATATATTCAGGAAATTAAAAATACATTGAAAGTGGGCTGGGAATTTAGCTCATTGGCTCTGTGCCTGTCTCCTAAGCTCAAGGTCATGAGTTTGAGCCCCAGTATCAGAATAAAAATCTATTGAAAGTATACACAGCAGAATGAACCAATCATATCAGATATAGAAGACAGGATTGCAATTAGCAATCATGAAAAGAGAAATTTCTTAAAAATATCAAGGAACCATGAGAAATCAATCCAGCAGCTACTAGGTGATGCGAAGAAGAATAATATGAAATTGATCAGAGTCAATGAAAACTGGGAGATAGTGCAAATAACATTAAAAAAACATGTTCTCAGAAGTAATGGCAGAAAACTTCCCAAACAGGGAAAAAGAATCTGACATAAGTGAGGCATACAGGACTCCAATTAGCCATTAGTCAAAAAAATCTTCCCCAGGCATATAATCGTCAAGATTCCAGATATTTCGCATAAGGACAGAATATTAAAAGCTGGTAAGAGAAAAGAAGCAATTCACCTAAAAAGGAAAGCCAATCAGAATCATAGCAGACTTCTCAATACAATCTCTCAAGTCAAGGAGAACTTGAAGTATTACAAACCCTAAAGGAAAATAACCTCCAACCCAGATTGATGTACCCTGAAAAACTGTCTTTCAAAATTGATGGAGAGGGCCGGGGATTTAGCTCAGTGGTGCCTGCCTTGCAAGCTCAAGGACCCAAGTTTGACCCCTGGTACCAAAAACAAACAAATGAACAAAAAATTCATGGAGAAATAAGATACTTCCATGACAAAGAACACCAGTGATCCCCAAACCAGCACTCCAAAGTGTTCTGAAGGATATTCTAGAAAGAGATAACAAGGATTACAACTACATGAACTACAACAGAATGAATCCACCAGACAAGGCAAGAAATTAAACAGAAAAGGAGAGAAAGAAGCCAATAATAGGAAAATAACATGACAGAGATAAGATGATACACATTAGTTAAAACCGTCAATGTTGATGGTCTCATTCACCAATGCAAAGAAACAGCCTGAGGGCCGGGGATTTAGCTTAGTGTCACCGCACCTGACTTGCAAGCACAAAGTCCTGAGTTCAGTCTCCTTTACATAAAAAAAGAAAGAAAGAAAGAAACAGACTGGCAGAATAGATCAAGAAGCAAGATCCAACATCCAAGATCCAACAAAATGCTGTATACAGGAAGCACGTTTAATTCAAAAACAAATTTATAAATGGAAAATCAAAGAATGGAAAACAATATTCCATGTGACAGGAACCAGAAGAAGACAGGGATAGCTATTCTATTTGCAGACAAAGCAGATTTCAAGCCAAGACAGATGAAGAGAGACATGGTCACTACATGCTTGTAAAGGGAACAATCCAAGAGGAAGAGATAACAATCATAATAGATCACATACTAGTACATAGAACATGCTTAAGTAAATGCAAAAGAGTTGAAATTATCCCATGCATATTATCAGACCATAGTGCAACGAAATTAGAAATTAATAACAAAAGAAACTAGAAGAACTTTATAAGCACATGGAAATTAGATACCACCCTCCTAAACAACCAGTGGGTCACAGATAAAATTAAGAAATCAGACAATTTCTACAATTAAGTAATAATGCCAATAAAACCTACCAGAACTTAACAGAATGCAATGAAAGCAGTCTTACGAGGGAAATTTATAGTGGTGAATATCCATATCAGAAAAACAGAGCAGGCTCAAATAACTTTGGATGTCAGGTATTTTGTCCCAGCAACAAGAAAAGTAATTAACACAGTTTTCTTATTTATTAGCATTGGTACCTTAAACTATATTACTATATTGGCCTAGACTAACGCATGTGATAGTATTTTTTAATTTTGCTTGCTTGTCTCTAGAGCTTATTAACCACTTAGCAGTTTACCCCAAGCATCACTTGAACAGCATATTTGTTTACATATTGACTATCCCAAGCATCACTCAAGCAGCTATCATTTCAAGCATTCAGTTCTTGTTAGCAATAAATTTGATAAAGATTTTTTTATCTATTATTTTATAAAAATTAATTTTAAAATATGCAATTTTTAGTCATTCTATATTTTGGTTATTGGACTGGTAAGTGGTTCATTCAATTATTTGTTTTTTGGAGACAGGATCTCACTATGTAGTTCAGGCTGGCCTTGAACTCACTACATAGCCCAGGCTAGCCTCAAGCTCATAGCATTCGTCTTGCCTCTCAAACTCCCAAGTGCTGGGATTACAGATGTGTGCCACTACACCTGACTTTTTTTTTTTTCCTGATAAATTTTGCCAGCAGTCTGTCACAAGATTGGGCAAACTGTGACCCTCAAGCTAAGAGTTGCTGGGAGACGTACCTTTCATTTTCATACTGCCTGTGGATGCTCTCTTGCTATATGGCAGAAAAGAGTAATTGAGACAGTGACCATACTATTAACTGGTCTTTTACATAAAGTGTTTGCCAACATGAACTGTCTTATTAATCCTTGGAAAGAAAAAGATTTTGATTTTATCTGCTCAAATTTTAATTTATTTTCCCCCTTGATTAATTTCTTCCTTCCTATTTCTTTAGATTTGCTCCATTATTTTCCTAACTTCTCAAGTTGAATCCTTAGCTCATTTCTTTGTCTTTTTTATATTCTCATATATACATTTTAAAATATATTTTACTCTGAAAACTATCTTATTATAATTTGGTTCTACTTCTGAATAGAGTGGGCCCTTGACTTATGAACTCAATTCATTCATGAAGGCTGGTTGTAAAGAGTTAGTCAATTGAAGGCTCAGGCTCCTCTACACACCCTTCAAAGTCTCTGTCCTGTATACAGGCAGATTTCAGTGTTCTTAGAGAGACTTTGGGCAGGATTTGTTGTAATATTCTTTCCAGACCTCTTTAAGGGCTAAATCTGTATCTGAGACCATCTGGAAGCACAAGTGGCTGGGATTTGGGTCATAACTCAAGAGTTTATAAGTTAAAACTAAAATTCTGGTTGTAACCCAGATCATTCCTATGTCAAGCCAGGGTCCACTGTATTCCCTGTGATTTTTATCCTTTTTTATCCATTTTGGTGATTTATAGGTATACAATTCAGTTGCATTAATTACATTCATATTGTTGTGCAACCATCACTATTCATCTCTGAAAATATTTCATTTCTCCAAACTGAAATTTTGTGTCCATTAAAAAAAAAAAACTACCTGGGGCCGGGGATTTAGCTCAGTGGTTCTGCCGCCTGCCTCACAAGCACAGGGAACCGAGTTCAATCCCTGGTACCAAAAAAAAATACTACCAGGCCAGTGATATAGCTCAGTGGTGCCACTGCCCTCCTGAAATGCGCAAGGTCCCAAGTTCAATCCCTAGTACAAAAAAACTCCAAAAAACACACTACCATTTCTTCCCACTCCAAGACCCTGTGAACTACCATTCTACTTTGTCATTGTGAATTTGAATACTCCGGGAATGTTACATAGGTGGAATCATACAGTGTTTATCTTTTTGTATCTGGGTTTGAAGCATGACTGCTACAGGGTCCCTGGGCAGATCACTAGACACAGAATAGGAACAAATCAGCTTTTTATTAGCTGGCAGCTACAAGCAATTCAAATCACCTCAAACGCCTCAAATAGAAGTTTACTTCCATTTGTTTATCTTTTATATTTCTATGGGAAGGGGGAAGCAGCAACCACAGTTGCTGCAGAAATAGCCATTAATCTAAGTATAATTACATAAGCAGAGGAGCATTTAAGGAGGAACAGGAATGTTTGGCAGGGGCTAAGATCATCTTGCTCTAGTGATTTGACATTACAGCAATGGCTATAGTTATAATACATCTTTCTCAGAAAGCATAGGAACACAGTTAACCCATAGTTGGCCACTTCTCCCCCATAAGAGTTTTCACCCTCAGGCTTATTTCACTTAGCATAATATCTTCAGAGTTCATCCATGGTGTAGCTTGTGTCAGAATTTCCTTCCTTTGAAGACTGAGTAATATTCCATTGTATGAATATACCACATTTGTTATCCATTCTTCCATTACTGGACATTTGGGTTGTTTCTACTTTTTGGCTCTTGCAAATAATGCTGCTATGAATACTAGTGTACAAAGAGTTTCATGTGAAATCACTCATCTTCATTTCTCTTAGGTATATACCTGGCTGAAGAACTGCTGGGTCATATGGTAACTCTGTATTTAATCTTTCAAAGATGTGAGTTTTGTTTTGTTTTGTTTTGTTTTTTGAGACAGAGTGTCACTATGCAGTTCATGCTGACCTTGAACTCACCATGTAGCCCAGGCTACCCTCCAACTCAGGGAGATCCTCAAGCCTATGAGTTTTGTTTTTGTGGGGGTGAATGCTGGGATTACAGCAGTGCTCCACAATACCCTGCTCCTGATGCAAGTTTTAAAACCACAAATTAAACCTTGTTCAGCTCTAGGTGAGCAACAAGAGCACTTTTGTTTCCCTGCAGGTGAAGGAGCTACAGCAGAGTCTACAGGCCTCTGAGGAGCGGTTTAGGCAGAGCAGTGACCTTGTGGCCACCCAGGAGGCACAGATCCAGCAGCTTGTGAGTGCTGACCATGCTTTGCACCACAGATACAGTTGCTCTTTTGGTGGCCAGAGCAGATTGAGGACCTGCTCCAGGGCCTGAGTTACCCAGAATGTGGAATGACTGGTTGATTCCCCCCGACTTGTGGCCTGCCCTGTTCTGAGACATTTAGAAGCTGTACCTCTCAAGGCTCAAGCTTCAGCTTTGTAGAGAACAGGTTGAGACTGGGGAGAAGATGGTAAGGGCTTGGCCAGTCATCAGTGCCCCAAGGGGGCCGAATTAGAAGCTAGAGAAATAAAAGCAGCCTGCATTGATTTCCTATTGTCACACTGAGGTACAATGCTCACTGCTTTGTACACACTTTGATTTAGTGCTTGCAGCACACCTGAAATGCGTTCACTGTCATCATCTTTCTGTAGAGGAAGCAGGTTCAGAAGATTTGGTCATGAGTTCATGGGCTCCCAGCCAGCAGATGGCAGGACTCACCCCCTTTTTATGCAAAGCCTTGTTCTTCACCACTGTGTTCTGCTGCCACCTGGGGAAAGCCCAGGTGATGGAGGCACACTAAGTGACACTCAGGAGGCCCATCCTAGGGTCCCTACACACCCTGAGGGTGCAGCAGTCGCAGCAAGACCAAAGCTTGGCTCCACCTCCTGGGCAAGCCAGGCCCAGCAGCAACAGGCGGTCTGCAGGGGTCCCCAGCAACATGAGGGGGCTGGGAGCTGTTTCCCCTGGGCCCCAGAAAGCCAGAGTAAGGCCTCCCTCAGGACACTTGTCCTTTGACTGACTCCCCGTTGGTTTTGCCACAGGTGGCTGCAAAGGAGAGTAGCCTTTCAGAGCAGCAGACCCTCGCCCTGAAGCAGCAGTGCATGGAGCGCACGTGTGCACTGGAGGCCCAGATAGTAGCCTTGGAGCAGGCACGCGTGGCTGACCAGACGGCTGCTGAGCACGCAATGGTGAGTGAAGAAGGGAAGGAGGCTGAGTACAAGAACTGGGCCATGCAATTGGCTGGAAAAACAGCACCTTTGGGGATGGGGGAAGTACTCCATAGATCCATTCACACCTGAGTACTGTTCAAGGCTTTGAACCTGAGTCCTGGATGTAAAGAAGCTACTGTTGCTTTTTTAAAGCCAGGCCTCACACTGAGCTACATCTCCAGCTATTTTATTTTTATTTATTTTGAGATAAGGTCTTGCTAAGTCACTAAATTGCAAGGGTAGGTAGACTTGAACTTGGAGCCCTTCTGCCTCAGCCTCCCATAGTGGTGGGATTCTAGGTATGCACCACTGTGCCCAACTAAAAGACTTTTTTAATTTAATTTAATTTTATTTTTTAGAAACTCAAATGACTTTTCTTTTCTTTGACCCCTCAGGGACTTTCTGGTGTTTTCTGACTGTTCTTCTCAGCTTCTTGTTCTTTCTGAAATTCATAATGCTCCTTAAAATCTCATATCGCTCCTAATTTCTCCTGTTCCAGAGACTGTCTCCCTGTAGCACAATCCTGAGAAGCATTTTACTCCCCCTTGTGGGGTTTGCTTTTTGTTGTTGTTTTCTTTTCCTTTGGTGTTGCTGGGGATTGAACCCAAAGTCAAGTGCTCTACCGCTGAGCTACACCTCTACCCCAGGAAGTGTTTCCTCATCTGCTTGTTTTGCTTGTTTGTTTCAGACATGGTAACACTATGAAGTTCTGGTAGGCCTTGAACTCATTTTGTAGCCCAGGCTGGCCTCAAACAGACAGCGATCCTCTTGGCTCAGCCTCCCAGGTGCTGGGAATACAGGCGTGCTCCACCATGCCTGGTTGGATTTTCTTTTCTTACCCCTACAGTGTTGTCTTCTCTCACTTCTGTGTTGACTAAAAGAAAGGGTGTTTTCAGAGGTGCCCTGCCAGAGAGGCTGTGCCTGGGAGAAATATGGCAATTAGGACTCCACCTTTTTTTTTTGGTACTGGGGATTGAACTTAGATCCTTGTGCTTATGAGGCAGGCAGCAGAACCACGGAGCTAAACCCCCAGCCCAACTCCACCTTCTTATATGTGTACTTCTCCATTGCAGAGTGAGCTGGAGCGAGAACACGCTGCCCTTCAGGAGAGCAGGAATGAGTATGAACGTTCTTTACAGCATCATCAGGTAGAACTGAAGAAGCTAAAGGTATTTATCTGATTGAGTCAGAGTTTGACCTAAGTGTTCGTATCTTACGCCTGTGTTTGGAGTAGTGGCCAAGTGAAAGTCCCATTCTTGGAGTGGAGAAGAAATTAACTAGCATTTCTTCATTAACTTGGTTAGGAATCTGGTAGAAAATATCATCCATTATGTCCTCTCTAGGACCCAGGACTGTAAGAATTCTGCCTATTGAGCAGTTAGCACTGTTGAGGCTGCAGGGGTCAGCAGTTTGTCCAGGCTGCATAGGGAGAGCTGGTGCAATTCTGACCTTTTGCTCCACCAAAGGCCCAACTCGTCCCTTTGTCATTGGCACAGCTGTCTGAACTTGTGCTGTCACATTGCCTCTGTGGCTTTTTTCAGTGGGGCAAGTCAGGCAAGCCTGTGATAGGCCATAACTACCTTTACTTGTATCAAGGAACTTAGACAGAAATAAGGAAAAAATCTGCTGACCGTTACCCTTTCCCTTTTGAGCACTTGTGCTCTAACCATACCCTGCCTCCTTCACTACTAGACACAGCTAGTGGCCATGTGCTTATAGGGCCCCAGGCCCCTGGGCCCTTTCACAGCACCTTTGGGTGATAGCTTAAGTAGATAAAGGACAAAATTGCAAATTTCAGCAGAAATTTAGAAAACAATAAAGATACAGGTTATTCTGGGCATGGGGGCACATGCCTATAATCTCAGCTACCTGGAGGCTGAAGCAAGAGGATTGCAAATTCCAGACCAGGTTAGGCAACTTAGTAAGACCCTGTCTTAAAATAAAAAAATAAAAGAGGGGGGTCAGGAATTTAGCTCAGTGGTGCTGCCACCTGCCTTGCTAGCACAAGGTCCCGAGTTCGATCTCTGGTACCAAAAATAAATAAATAAATGAATGAATGAATGAATAATATATAGAGGGACAGATAAAGCTTAGTGGTAGGGCACCTGTAGGTTTTGAAAAACAAGGAATCAAACAGAGTTTTAGAGTTAGACAATACAATAACTGAAGTTAATAGAGTAGATTACAGAAGGGCATGAAGAATGTTTTTGGAATAATAGATATTTTCAGTATTTTCATTTTGAAGGTCTCACCGCACTTCATCCATCTGCACGCTAAAAATATGCAGTCTGTTGTTAGGAAGGCTGTTTAAAAAACAGTGGGGACCAGGCATGATGGCTGACACTTGTAATCCCAGTACTCAGGAGGCTGACGCAGGAGGATGACAAGTTCAAGCCCAGCCTGGTTAACTTAATGAGACACTGTCTCCGAATAAAATACAAAAGGGTTAGTGGAACACCAGTTGCCTAGCATGCTTAAGGCCCTAGGTTTAATCTTCAGTAACACCCACACACACTTAATAGCCAGTTACTAAAGAGAGAATTAGTAGAATGGAAGAAAGGACAGACTATGCTATCCAAAATGAAGTACTGAAAAAAAAAAAGAGAAATCACAGAATTCAGGAAGATGTTTAGAGTGTATTTGTGGATTCCCAAAAAGGCAATTGCTAAAAGAAATCCAAACAGGATAAATTTTAGAATCCATATGCAGACATGTATGGTAGACTAAAGAAAGCTAATAAAATAAAACAAAGAATTAGTCTTCAATAGATATGCAATAAAGGAAATATTAAAGGATATCTTTCAGTTAAAGGAAGATCTAGGTCCAGGATGTAGCTGAGCAGCACAGCACCTGCCTAGCAAGTGCAAGATCCTGAGTTTGATCTCCAGTGCCACAAAAACAAAGGAAGATTCTAGGTAGAAGTATAGAAATGTTAAGGAAGTAAGAAACTAAGAACAAATTTAAATGATCTTTATGAAAAAATAATAATGATTTAATAAATATTTAATGTAAAATAAAATATTCAATGAAAATAACCCAAGTCAGGTGAAATATATGCAGTCAGTACCGTTAGTTCTTTGTATTGCCTGGGGGTCAGATACCAAACAAGACAGGACTGTGGCTCTGGGTGTAGTGCAGTGGCATTGTGTCTGTAGCATGTAGGATGTCCTGGCTTCAATTCCCAGCACCGAAAAGAAAAAAAAAGACTGGACTTTGATAAGACATATGCATGTTATAATTTCTAGACTCATCACTATAAAAGTAATACAAGAATGTATAATTACCAGAATTTCAGAGGGAAAGGGGGATTTTTAAAAAACCAATCTAAAATAGAAAACAAGTTAATAAATGAATACAAAATAGGAAACAAGCTGGGCATGGTGACAGAGCAAGGGCTCTGGGAGGCTGAGACAGGAGCATCCCAGCCTGGGATGCTCTGCGAGACCTGTTCTCAATAAAAAATAAAAGTATTCTTAGTGGATACCACCAAGCATGGTGGAGCACTCCTGTAATCCCAGCACTGAGGGCTAAGGCAGGAGGACCACCATGAGTTTGAGGCCAGCCCAGACTACACAGTGTGTTCAAAGCTAGCCTTGTGAGACTTGTCTCAAAAAATAAAAACAGAAACAAAAAATTTAATTGACATATATGGAGCCCTAGTTTCAATAGTTGCAAAATATATACACTTTTTCAGGCATACACAAAGTAGAGGAAAGACTAACCATAAAGCAAGTCTCACAAAATTTCAGTGAATTAAAATCATACAGAGTATGTTCTCACAATGAATTGAAGTAAAAATAATAAAAATATAGAAAAGCCAGCTATGTGGTGATGCATGCATTCACCCCAGTACTCTGGGAGGCTGAGGCAGGAGGATTATAAATTCAAGCCCAGTCTGGACAATTTAACAACTTAGTAAGACCATGTTTCAAAATAAAAAATAAAGACGGATGTGGTAGTGCATGCCCAGCACACTGGAGGTTGAACCAGGAGGATCGCCATGAGTTGGAAATCAGCCTGGGCTGCCTATAAGTTCAAGACCAGTCTAAACCACATAGTGAGACTGTCTCAAAAAACCAAAACAGCTGGGCATGGTGGCACATGCTTGGAATCCCAGACTTTGGGAGGCTGAGTCAGGAGAATTGCCATGAATTCAGGGACAGCGTGGACTATATACTGAGTTCCAAACCAGCCTGGGGCCGGGGATTTAGCTCAGTGGTTCCACCACCTGTCTTGCAAGCACAAGGGCTGGAGTTCGATCCCCAGTACCAAAAAAGAAAAAAAAAAAAAAAAAAAA